AATTTTAGCCCCTCACAATGACAGTGCTGCTAAAATTAATGACACCTTACTGGAAAAAATTCCCAACCAAACATTCACATACACATCAATAAATGTCATGATAAATGAGGAAGAATCAGTTCAATTCCCTGCAGAATTTCTAAATTCTATTGAAATATCTGGCCTTCCACAACACATTTTAAAATTGAAAGTTGGTACGCCTGTCACGTTGCTGCGATCAATAAAGTCCAAACAATGAATGGCATGAGATGTGCAGTGACTTCTTGCAACAGATACACTGTTGAAGTTGAAGTTGCTGTTGGTGCACACAAAGGAGAAAGGTATTTGGTGCCCAGAATTCCGCTACAGCCATCGGATACAACTTTTCCATTCGTCTTTCAACGGAAGCAAATACCCCTACGTGCATGCTTTTCGATGACGATCAACAAAGCCCAGGGACAAATATTGTATTCCATCGGACTGGATCTACAACAACCAGTATTTTCCCATGGAATGCTATACGTTGCCTTTTCAAGAAGTGGAAGGAGAGACGCCATTGCTTATGTGTCATCGCCTCTGACCAGGAATGTTGTCTACAAAGAAGTCCTGTAAAGTTCTGAGGTTAGTGACTGTTTCAGCATTACAATATAATGTAAATTGAAAACTAATCCTTTCTTTTTCCAGGTGATAAATAAATCTCTCTTCCAGGTGATATCTAAATTTCTCTTTCAGGTGATAGCTACATCTCTTGTTCAATTGATCATTTGCAGATTTTTTCTCTTGCATGAAAATGACTCGACGATTGATTCTTTTGAATCTGTTCATCAAACGAGTACCCAGCTGGTAATATATAACTGAGTGATGCTGCATTCCTGTCTGCATACAAAAACAGACCATTGACGTTACCAACAGCATACTAAAAAGAACATAAAAGGAATGCATGTGTCCTATAACTCAGATTTTAATTATGAATCAAATTTGAAGAGCAGAGATGGAAGAGCACAGCAACTCTTCTCCTCATTACCTACACATTTTATCAACATCCAACCATTCACTCCCAACATGAAATATATGACACCACACATGTCGGCAACAACACAATTGCTATACGTCCACTCACTTTTTTTTTTTTTTTTTTTAAATAGTAAAGGGTTTTACGGTGCTCGCAACTGCATAAGGTCATATGAGCGCCAAGGGGTGGGTGTCAACAGAGAAGTCTTTACAGGGAATCAGACTTATTCTGCTCACCTCTCTAGCTTCAACAGCACAAGGTCTGCTTCGACTATCAAGGCATCCCGGAAATAGCAAGTCACAAGAGAGTGACAAACATACAAAAGAAGTAGAGGAAAATGACAATAGTAAGGATTCAGAAAGAAAAAGCAGCAGTTCCCTGTTGTAGATCAGGCACAGTTATGAGCGTGACATGAATCAGCCCATTTACAATTCTACTGTGCTTGAACGAGAAATGTCCCCCCTTTGGGAATGGCCTAAAGACACTACAGTCAGTGGCACTGTCCCGGGGGGTTATCCACTCACTTTACACTTTATGGCACACTAACATACAGGCCACCATATTATCACCGCTTCCCATAGCGTAAGCCAGTAGTTCAGATCTACTAAGCCAAACATTTTGAAAAAAAATAAATTTTTAATTGCAGTTTCTTATTCTTCAGTATTGGCTGTCGGTGCTTTAAAATATTTAGTTGAAAATCAAATTTTAAATGTTGAATAAAACTAAATACATATATAATAAAAGTAAGATTTTTAAAAAAATAATAAAACATTTCATTTTCTCTCCTAAAAATATTTTGCTTTCTGGGCTTAGAACAATTCGTCCTTCTAAACACGTACTAACGTAAGCCACATCTGACCCGAAATCAAGTTATAGCAATCACGCGATTCCCTTTATCCGATACTACATCCTCTCAAAACATCGTAGGAATCGAGCTATAAATAGCTGAGATATAGTCGATTCCAGTTTGAACGTATCCCACTTGCCCACAAAAAGATACAGCACGTACTAACACACTGTTGGTTATGCTAGTGCGTGACGTCCACTTTGACCCATTGTTCTGTTTTTATTATACAGCACAAACTAACGTAAGCCACACAGCCGGGGCTGAGCCTATGGCAACAAAACATCACGCAGCACTTCTAGAGAGCGGGAAGACAAGCTAAACTACACACGTGAGCAGTGTGCTTCATGTGAGGCAGTGAATGCTCAGACTCCACTTCTTGAAGTCCCTTTTTACTCGTCCTTTGTTTACAAATGGGATCCCGCTCTGGACAACCACTCTTTCTTTGACATGTAGCCCTACTGTTCAAACTCTAATTGACATTCAGAACCCTGGTGAAGTCTTAAGCTTACAGACTGCATAAGTCATGGGTGTCCAACTGCCACTGAGAACTTTAAGGGACAAATAGATGCACGTATGTGCTTCAAGGACACTGATATGCTTAGTGAGGCAGACAGTGATGAAATGTCAGCATGGCTACGACTCAGATGGCGATCCGGAATTCAATCCTGGAACATGCTTGGTCAAAAGGTGCAATGCTGAAGTATGGGCGGCTTGTCCTGATTGTGAAATCCTTCTTTGCTTTGATCATTTCAATAAAGAGATTGCATCGTGAGTTCAACATAAAAAAGCACGAGAAGGTCAAAGGAAAAAATCAACAACACATAAAAGCTGTAGGTAGGCCCTTAAAGTTTAAGATTCCCGCTGGTGTGAATATGAACACTGATGCTCCCGATCAGTTTCAGACAAAGGAAACTGTCATTGATGAGGGGGGAGGAAGAATGCAAAGATCAGTTCCCGAGCAGTACACAGTGGAGGGAAGTGAGAAAGAAGTCAGAAAGGAAAAGAAACTCAGATCAAACAAACAGAAGGAAGCCAAAATGAAGAGGAATTTGGGACAAGAGTTCACAAGCATGTACCACATGTTCATCCAGGAATGGATACCAAGGCCATCAAGCTTCACTACATAAAACGATGTATTCAAAAGTACAAATCTGTCAGTCCACCGGCCCAAGAAAGACCAGTGCTCTCTTTGTGTCAATTATCACCTAGGAAATGAAGAAACAAAGATAGGTCTTAGGGGAAAGTTTGAGATCCATGTGGGAGAAAAAGAAAAGGTCAGGGAAATAAAGGAGCTACGCAAGAAAGAAGCTCAGGAAAGTGAAAACATTCTCTGTGCAAGTTTTGATTTGCAGCAGGTCATTTACCTCCCTATGACTCAGGAGAGTGCCATCTTTTACAAAAGGACATTGTCCAACTACAACCTGACTTTCTATAACATTGCTAACAGAGACTGTCACTGCTTCACTTACGATGAAACGCAAAGCAAACGTGGATCCTCGGAAATTTCAACTACAGTCCACCTTGCCCTGAAATTTTATGACAACCGTGGCATCAAAAAAGTTTTTCTTTTTGCCGATGGACGCAGTGGTCAGAACAAAAATTCGATTACGCCTTCGATGATGTTGTATACTGTGAACAATAGTGTGAATCTTGAAGAGATTTCATTGAGGTTCTTTGAAACAAACCATGATCAGAACGAGGGTGATTCTGTAACTACAAAAAAGCCAGACATTGTGTTATGGGAGGAAAAAGGCAAAGAGGTGCACTTGGTAGAGCTCACGGTGCCCCACGAGGACAATATCTATGCCGCTCATGAGCGGAAAGAAAACCGTTACGAGGCACTCGTCGAACAATGTGAGGAGGCAGGATGGAAGGCAACCCATTTTCCGGTAGAGGTAGGATGCAGAGGTTTTGCAGCAACAAGCGCCCGTAAGTGGATGAGAGTGGCAGGACTTACTGCAAAGAAAAGCAACGAACTCACAAACTCCCTTCAGGAGACAGCAGAGAAAGCCAGTCACTGGATCTGGTTGAAGCGAGAGGACTCAGGCTGGAATGAATCCTAAAGTTGGCAGCAGAGGAAAACAGTCGAACTAACATGGAGACCTCGCATCGGTGAGAGGGCTCGGTGCGTCAGAAAAGCTGTAGAGAGGAAGAGCCCGAAACAGCGACGCATTCTCTCCTGATGATCTCCATGCTAGAGTCCGGGATACGGAGCGTTCGACGGTGAGCAGTGCATACGGCTGTTTAGACTACGCAATAGGACATTCCCTGAAGAGGGCTGGGGATTTGTTCCTTCCTTCTCGGGTAGCAACAGTGAAGTCTCTCGCTCGACCTCAAAAGCCTCACCTGGTGAATCAGATGCAGTCTAAAGACTTTCGGGATCTCAAAGGCTTATCAAAGGACTTGAGAATCCTGGACGCACGAAGAGGATCTGATACGGAAGACACTTTTTTGTGGAACAATATCATGGAACTGCGAGTCACTAAAGAACAGCCAGATAAAGTCTTCTACAAGACGAGCCACTTTGACAGTTCATTCAAAACCCTGTCCCTCAAGAGACTGAAGAATAGTGTAAAGGACTGTGCACCTCAGAAACTGAACTCAGGACCAACAAACATTTCGAGAGAAAAATTCACTGATTTGTTTTCACTCTGTTCTGGTCCCTCACCAGTAATTAAACTGGAAGAGCACAAAGCTTTTTATCTTTCCTTACCCCATGAGTTATAGTTGGCTGTGAAGGTCTCCTTTGGGGCGAAGCTATTTTACTTTGTTCGCTAAGGTGTAACTCCAGCTTAAGTGTATAGCAGTCAAGTTATGACACAAAATGTATTTAATTTCACATTTTCTACTCTATTTCTGAGTTACTGCTTATTAGTCTTTGAAATATGTCATTGAATTTACATCTCTACAGCAAGATCATGTTCCCAATAAGCCTAAGTGGAGCTCTAACTCTAGCGGAAATGTTCCCTGAATTCTTTATTATTTGTTTTTGCAAATTTGAAAATTTAGTGAGCACATACTAGCTCAAGTTTTTTGTAGCTTGTTTTGTTTTTAGTAAAGTACTGCTTCCCATATTAAACAGGATAGTGTTTCACAAAAGAATAGTCCATAATGAAACGTTTGTTTAAGCAGTAGATAGTTGCAGTGATTATTTAATTTTAAGTTGATTTTTTTATCATGTTCAGTTGGCGTCTGCATATTTCGAGTTGTTGTTAACATTGTCATTTGTTACGGATAATACAGCCCGTGAATTTTAAACCAAATCGATCTTTCTTTGTATTTTTATTGTTATTTGGAAGTTACCATTTAGGCTTAAGCCACGCAATGAACGCATTATGCTTTAGAATACAAAAGCACGTACTAACGTATCCAACAATCTAATAACGTAAGCCACACATCGAGGCTTTCATTGACGTAGCACGTACTAGCGTATCGGACAAAAAGGTCATTTTCCCTTCAAAACCTACTAATCTCACAAAGATGCTTCTAGCCAATTGAAAAGTAGTTGGCCCACACACGTTATGTCAAAATATTAAGGGCAAGGTCAGCTATTTGACGCCACAATGGGATGGTGAAAATCGCTCTAATCTTTAAACGTCTCTCGTGCAAAACTAACAAAATGTGGCTTACGCTAGTACGTGTTTTGAGGGACGAATTGAACAGCTAGCCAACGATAGAGGGCATCAAGGAAAAAAGAATAGCAAAATTGGCTGTCCTCTTCCCATAGCATCACACACGCATGCACACACACACGAACGCGCACACACACACACACGCGCAATCAGTCCCAATGGTTCATCAAAAACGTACAAAGGTGTTCTCTGTACAGGCAGGTCAAACATTTTTTAAAAAGCATTATTTTCTACCCTAGCACTGCAAGCGAACTGGAAAAATCAAATTCCTTGAATACCTCAGCACTGCATATAGATTGGATTGGACAATCTATCTTTCATTCAGGTATAATAATATCAAAAGTACATGTACACCATTGATACTTTGCTGGTTTCAAAATCAACAAACTAAGTAAGAGGTAGAGTAACGTGACCCGGGCCCGGCTACTTCCGCATTCTCCCGTTTCCATGGCAGTTTTGGCTAAAATCTTCAGCGGTAATGGCGTCCCTTAACTAATTTCGGTTGTTTACTTCCGCTTCCTTTTCAAATCAAGTACGTTTTGGAAAGGCGGCACCATCAAATTGAAATTTCACCGAAAAAGTTTTTATTGTTTCTGAGGTAAGGTCGCGCTAACCTTCAATAATTGACATTATTTATGGCCCTTTCTTGCTTTCTACACTAACCCCAGCCTCATTGTTGCTAACATTTGTTGCTCAATCATGTTTCTTTGATGCCTGTTCATAACTGACCTAGTTGGGGGGGAAGGGGGGAGGGGTGGGTCGCACCCAGTACAGGAAAATTTCATCCTCCTACCCTGGCGCCACCATGAGTGACCACACCAAGAAAACACATCAAAGGTAGGCGGTATTTGGCATGTTTGAATGTTGTCTAACAGTTCTGTATCCACATTTTGTTTACTAACATATTATACCTACTGAATACTAACAGTTCAGTTTTTGGTGACTCTGGTCGCAACCAGGGCGAAATGGTCGCGTAACAGGCAGAGTGGTCGTGCCTGGCACTGGTGGTGGCCATGCCCTCGCCGAGTGGTTGCGCCCTTGCCGAAGTAGTTACATTATTATAAACAATTTTGTGAACACAATTAAGGACGAGAACCGCATTCTAACAGCAGAAATCGGAAGTTGATATCCCAAATTAATGGCGGACACAGTAGCGTTGTGATAGCTGCCGGCAGTAAGCGAAACAGGATATTTTAGTCCATGTGGTCGTGCCCTGGTACAGTTACTCTAGCACAAAAAGACAAAAGAATCGTATTGAACAAACCTTTCGATGTGAATTCTAAAAAAGACAAAAATAGATGAAAAAAAAATGTTTCAAAATGTCAATAGATTCAAAAGCACTTCATAACCAGGGGTGGTAAATATTCGATACATATTAAGTAAAACAGTAAGATTTCTACCTCTCCAAAGCTGCATTCAAATAGTTGGACTAGAAATACAGCACTCAGATTACAAACCCCATTCCCACCCGGCCAACGTGGCCAACCACATTGACACTATAGGAGAAGCTGTACGAGCCAACAAAAGAACTGAGCAGGATATGATAGATACCGGACTTCAAATGAGATGCAATTGAAAAGAAAAAGAAGGAGACAGACTAAGTAGTAGAACAGGACATTTTCCACTTCAGAAAAGAACAAGCTCTACTTTGTTTGGCCGGGTATGTAACAGATCATCAGCCTCAAGGAGGGAGGCCACAGTAGCTTTAAATAATTCCAACTCCTCCGACGAAGCCTCATCCGTGTGACATTCATAAGGGTATGAGAGTTGTAGCACTTTGAGCTTTTTTAGTTTGGCTACACCCTTTGTCAAAGTCAAAACTGTACTGGTGGTCCACGTGTTGCCTGCCAGGCTGAGAAACAGCAGGTTCTGGAAGCCAGAGAAATGAATGGTCAGGCTCATTACAATTTCATCGGTGAAGCGACAGTTTTCCAGTTCTAGAACTTTCACACAGGAGGAAATATTTGCAAGGATGCGGCCCAGAGAAACGTAGCACGGCGTCAGGCTGTTCTCACTGAGGTCCAGTTCTTCTAGAGACAGCGTGTGAGGGCAGGTGGCCAACGCACCCACATCAGCTGGGGTGAGTCCACATGCAGCTAGGCACAGCTGTTGTAGCGGGTGAGAAATGCCGCTCAGTATCGTGGCCAGCTGGTTCTTCAACCGGTTGTTGCTGAGGTCGAGTCTGCGCAGATGGACCAGAGGGGCGAACACCTGCTGTAAGATGAGAGCCGAGGAGGCCTGGTAGAGGTTCAGGTGATTGCACGACAGGTCCAGGGCGGTCAGCTGGGTCAGAGACTGAAGGGTTGGAGCCATCAACAGTAAATGACTGTTCTCTAGCGAGTTGTACTTCAGCTGCAGACCTCGGATCTCCTGAGGACAGATAGCAAAGTATGGGTGATTGGCGGGTGCTCTGAATCAGATGTGGTTGGCTCCTTATGTCTTATCAAACATATATCATCCTGAATCTCCTTCTTCTTTTCTTTGTATATAATTCTCTACTTAGTAAAAACTTTGATCTTTGGCACCTACTTGTGTTACAAGTGCCATAAATTTTTTTACTAAAACTAAAAGACAGCAAAGTTATACAGTATCCGTCATGCATGTAATGTAACGGCCTTTTCTTTATTAAAGCTGACTGGGCTTGCTCTTAAGTAAATAGCAACTTAGCAATCCATAGAGACCACAATTATTGTTATTCAAAAGAGCTTATATATAATTAAGCCCCCATCGACACAAATCAAATCATAAGGAACGTCATCTGCTTCAAATCTGTCGGTCAGAGCCAACCTGGACTGAGTGGGATACCACATTCCAGCAGACTGGTGGATACTCAGCTAAAAAAAAAAAACAACCTTTCCTCACTTAACCCTCGTCCTGCGGGGGACGGGTTTATGTCGCCCGATAAGCCTTTTTCGACACCTCGCCTGCGTTCTGGTCCCGAGTCAGTCTAGCCCCTGACTCAGCGCACGCGCACCATCTTACGTGAAATTTGGGTCCCGAGTCGGATCCCCATTCACGCAGGTCAAGTGTGTGCGTGTCAGTCTGCTTGAGTTTTTGTGCGTTTGTGGCCTTCTTCTAGAACCGCCCGCATTGGTTCGTAATCGAGGCATACGTCTCATTCAAAACACGCCAAGTTGGTAGCTCTAGATGTTCGTCCAATGAAATTATAGAAGAAATTGACCCACTTAGACATGAGGAGCTCGAAAGGATAGTCAGGAAACAAGACTTCCATTTTTCTATACAAAATCTTTCAAATTGAGCTTGATTTTGTATGAAATGATACTACCTGATAAAAAATAAGCTTGTTTGATAGTTTTGAATACCATTGTGCAGGTACAAAGAACAATTTGAGTGCAAAACATTCCGAAATTGACCTATATTATCCCTCAGGTCATTCATAACAACAAGAGCGTCTAGAAAGGTTATTCGAATGGGCGTAACTACTTATAATGTCTCATCAGCTTATGAGAGGGGGTTATTCATGTGTTTGCAACACTTTATAAATAGAAAGGTACGAAAGATAGAGCATTATTTTCATCATCGATTAACACACTCCCACCGTATTCATGGCAAAAACACATGTTTCCTGGCGCGTGCACTGTACACCAACAGTGCACACTGAGTGACCCCGGCGGCCTGCCCGGAACGTCCGACGTAATCGGTTGCTGATAAGATTAAATTCGCGTCGACGACCGCGACTGCAGCGTACGCAGATTCAACTATAATTGACTATAAAGCAAACCCAGCAGTTTAAAAATGCTTGCAAATAGCCCCAGTGGTTTAAACAGGAGATCGACAAGCTAGTTCTTTGTGGTTCGTGTATATTTACCACTTTTAGTGCGAATGAACGGGTTATTTGTCCAACGGACTGAACAACTGAAAGTAAGGAACTTCCATGCAGTTCGTTGTTGTTTCTCGTACGCGAAGCACGGCACGGCGAGTTTGTGTCGAAGTTTATTGAAACTCGATAATTTTTGTGAAGATTTAAGTGATAGTGAAGTACCAGATAGATAACTTCATAAATCAAAATGTGAATTCGCCTAGCAGTGATGAAGATGATTGAGAAAGTGACATTAGCTAGATCTAGACCAACATCGTCTCTCCATCGTGAATCTGACTCGTCAGCGAGTACGCAGCCTGGTCCGGCTGGGAATGATGATAGATCTAGATCTAGCCCCAGTACTAAACTCTAGTTCAAATCAGCCCTCAAAGTGGAGAAGATATATAATGTACCCAGACCTGGGACATCTATTGACAGATCTAGATCTAGTCCTAGAACTAGCAACACTGACAATGAAAACACTTCTCAGCCTGTCAACGTGGAAGATCTAGATCTAGATTTTTTTTTTTTTTTTCGTTTTCAAAATTAATTGTCACTTACATTTTTATGCTACTTCACCGTACACACTCATGCTTCATTCTCCTACACACAAACACACACTGCCACAACCATTTTGTGTAAGTCTATTAGATTTCTGCTTTGTCACATCACTTCCTTTTCTTTTTTCAACATTTTTTTCAGGGGCAAATTTGTCCCAACTTTCTATCCCATACATTTTTTGTTGTTCATTCTTCACACAATGTGTTTATTGTGTCTGTTGAACCAATATCTTACTAAATAGCACAGAAAATTTCGAAGAAATAGCATTTCATTTCAATTTTTTATGAATTTTCAAAAAGTGGGGGAAATTGGGGGTCCTCTGGGGCTTGGAGGCAAATCGGGGCGTGGTGCTCAGTGAGTTAAAACTTGTCACAAAAACCTCAACCTTCTCACAACCAACACGCCTTCCCACTCTTCATAAATTTTGGAGAATTTTTCTGAGACAACTCAGTTCATAAGAGAAATCAGTCCAGAACTATAGAAATCCTAACTTTGCAGTACTTGAAGGCTACTGACAAAGAGCTGGGGATTTCAAACGGTACTGGGGGTGGAAGGTTCACATAAAGGAGGAAAGTAGAAAGGGAAGCTGTCACACCAAAAAGTCAGCAGGATAACCCTATGATCCCCGATAGTTGACATTTGACCTTTGAGCCACACACAGTGACTGTCACAGTGCGAGGGCATGAGAGGGTTATATTTGATTTTTAACCAATGATCCTACCTCTGGGCGCAGCTGTTTGAGCAAGAGTAGAACTCGTTCACCTCCTAAACACGTAATGCTGAGTCGTTCCACAACCAGACGAAATCTTGTCTCAGGAAAAGCGGACACAGTGAGCGCTTTACAGAGTTCTGAGTGGCACGACTCGGACGTCACAAACGCATCCAGTTTGATCTCAACAGCTGAGAATGAGAAGAGCAAGAGGAATTAGTATAATTACAAAATTTTGAATAACGCAAAAGTAACGCCTTATGGAATATGAGCATTGTAGAAAATATTCCTTTATCAATAGTACTGAAAATAATACAGGTATGTTATGTAAGGGATATATACGTGAACTGAAAGTGAGATAGATTTCAAATCAAGGAAAAGTTTATGATTCAGGACACAATGAAAGCTCTACAGGAAAGCAGGTTAAAAATGTATTTAATATGATGGAAAGGTTTGTTTGTGTGTTTTAGTAGAGGTTTTACGGTGCTCCCAACTGCATAAGGTTATATGAGCACCAAGGGGTGGATGTCAACAGAAAAGTCCTTACAGGGAATCAGACTTACTCTGCTCATCTCTCTAGCTTTAACAGCACAAAGTCTGCTTTGACTATCAAGGCACCCCGGAAATAGTGGGTCACAAGAGTGTGACAAACATACAAAAGAAGTAGAGGAAAATGATGATAATAAGGATTACGAAAGAAAAAGCAGCAGTTCCCTGTTGTAGTTCAGGCACAGTTATGAGAATGACATTGTTGGATCAGCCCATTTACAATTCTACTGTGCATTAGAATGAGAAATGTCTGCCCTTTGGGAATGGCTTAAAGACATTTCAGTCAGTGGCACTGCCCCGGGGGGTAGGGAGGGTTTTGAGACAAAAAGATTTATATATCAAAATAGAGTAAAATGTTGAAAAAGCTAACTATTAAAAATAAATGACTATTTGTACACCACAGCCACAAAAAAACCCAACTACATCAAAACAGTACAAAATGACTGGTTACAGCATGTTTTGTGACAAACTATTCCAAACCCAATTAAAAGTCCCATTTGCCTTGCCATTTCAAGAAAAAAAAGCCAAAGTTTAAATGTTTGAGACAACACAATTTTTCACAAACCCTTTAATTTGACTTAAGGTAAGTAAGCTATTCCAATACACAATTCCATAGGCAATACAATTCCATACGCAACCCAACTTGAAAGCAGTTAAACTTAAAATTTCTCTCTCAAGGATACCTACATGCTTGCAGTAAGTTCAAAGTTTATAACCCTTTAAACCCTAGCCACAAGGTACCGGTAGCACATAATATTGCCGATATGCCTAGCCACCGGTACAACAACGTGAGCAAGACAGACCCTATTCCCTATCCCCGCCCGTCTCAGACATAACGCGCATGGATAACAGTGTTTACTGCACAGGACGTTGTCGATTATTTTGAAAATCTTTCTAAATTAAAAGCTGGTAATAACAAGGACTAATGGAATGTGATTCTGACGATGATACAAATGTGAGGGTGTGATATAGCAATGAATCACCCACGAGCTCAGGCAGAGGGGCATGGTAGCCTCAGGAAGTCAGGGCTCAAAGGGTTAATGTAGACCATTCCTATCAGGATCACGATCATCCATTGTACTAGACACCTCTAAACAATAAACTTACACAAAATGCACCTAAATCTCACTGCATGGGTACGATTTTTGTTTTGCTTGTCCCCAAAACCAGAGTCCAATACATAAAAAAAAAAATTCACTCCTTACAAGTCTTCTGTGGGCTAACCCCACAAACAAATGATTTTACAAAAGTTGTTTATTAGAATCTTTTCTCTCCACACGCATTACTGGTTTGCTCAAAACAGAGCATGAACATACAGTCGAACCTGTTCTGACGACCATCTGTTCCAGACAACCACCTGCATAAATGACCACTTCTCACTTTCCCTTTGTGTTTGTTCTATATTGTAGTGACACTGTCCGAGAGGATCACCTGTCTAAGACGATCTCTTTTACCCAATAAAATGGGTGGTCGCCCACGACAGGTTCCACTGTAAATGGGAAAAGTAAGACTAAGAGACCAAAACTAGGCAACAAGCTCTTACAAATGTTCTCCGGTAAACAGTTCTGAAAGTATGTGTCCAACGGGCTGTGTGAGTCTGGGGTAGAGCCATGGCACTCCTGGGCAAGGTGAAGAGCCTGGTTGTACAGAGTTATCATGTTGTTCCTGCGTCGCTCATTATGAGCCAGCATGCAGTGGGAGCACAGGTAATAGAGGATCACCTCCGCTGAAAAAAAAAATTTTTAAATAGTAGAGCTGATGTTTTTAACTTATTATGTTGTGAGTAGTCAGAATAAAACATGGCCACTAAAAAAGAAAAGAATCGCCTCTGCTAAAAAAACAAGAAGAGTAAATGACTGGCTAAAAAGTCTTCAAATGTGTGGTGAAAAGTCAGAATGAGGCACAGCTGTAAAAAAAAATAATAATGCAGCACAGCTATCCTTGTAGTAGAGCTTAACTTAGCACCACTTTTTTTCATATCACACATATCAAAAAGTATTTATTTTCACATTAAAAAATCCAAGGGCCACATAAAAATGTCAAATCTGTAACTGATAAATGAAATCTCAAAGAGATTTTCAAAGCTCTGTTTTTGCCAAACTGAGTCTCATATAAAAAAAACCTCAGGACAAAAAAATCTTCCAGCAGCTTTGCTCAATCCTTTGACGGTTTTTTATGTGTTCACCTATGTGACAAATAATTCTTTTCTTTATCTGTGCTGGCCGAGAGCGAATGACTTGAAAAGGAAGGTCAGGGACCAGGTTAATATTTCTATCAATTTAAAAAAAATAAACTGGTGACTTGCATGTAGCCTACCAATGCCGAAAAGAGTGGCAATAATAACTGAACTATTTGAGCATGGCTGATACTTACAAGACCTGAGGACAACTTCACAACAAACAACCCTTTGAGATTAAAAGGTGGAGGTACACAACTGAAACTACATTAACATGAAACTCTTCAGTATGAGATATATCCAAAAAATGCAAAACAAAAGAATGGGAATATAAGAAATTAAATAAAACGAACAACTCCTCACAAAGTAAAAAGATCTAATGAAGGATATTTCAGTCTATATAAATCTCCTCATCTCTTTCACATCACAAGCTGACAAAATGGAGAGCATGGACAGACAAGTATTGAGTTCTATTAGTACTACGCACTATATGATTAGTCAAGACAAATATGGTACCAGTAGGAAATCCTGTGATGTCTAGGTGTCGTATCTTGGTGGATGATACTTGCCGCAAACACTCCAGGAATGTGTGTGCCAGAGCTGTAGTGTATCGTAAACCTGCGAATTAAAAAGAGAACATAAAAATTGGCATGAGAATGTGACTAATGACTCTTTTCCATACTTTATTTGCACAAAAGAGTAAAATAAGACATTAATATGAAACTCATAATTTTTAATAATGCCAAAAATAAGCCTGTGCACTCTGAACCCACTTTCACAGTACAACCATCTATTTTTATCTCCAAATGTTACCACATTATGACCATCTCTGAAACACAACCAAGGCCATTTCAGTAAGGGTTTGACCATAAAAAGCTCGTAGACTCAGTTCACTAATTTGAAATTTGATAACATCCCAAGTCAACAACATGCTTCATATACAAGTACAGCGCACAACAAATTTGAATACATTTTTCATCTCATCATCATGTGCCCGACCTGCGACAAACATCGGTAATCATGGTGCTCCATTCATTCCTTTGCTCAAATTCTCTTAAAAAAGCTATATTGCCCTGATCTTGCCCCGTCACCATACATATATTTATATACAGAAAAACAATACAGTACAAGAGCAGTATTGCATACAGGCGTATCTAAAAGGCCGCCAAAAATGACTTACGTCTGTATGCAATACTGCCCGTGAGTAGAGAAACAAGGTTGCATAATGGGCTAAATCAACAATGTCAAACCCAGATAAATCTGTATATCGATTCAGTCATTCAAAAATTCAAAAGGAACTATCGCACGTGCAAAACTACTCTACATTGTGAATACCTGTCAAAGGCCAGTATCATTCACAAGAATGGGGAAGGGGGAGGGGGGGGGGGGGGGAGGGGGTTAGACTTGTACAGGGTTTCTTCTGCTTCAAGAACCTGGTCTGAAACTGTGGATCATCACTCATTTCTCTACTCTGATGTTCTAAAAATAGTACTACAGTTCACTGGTCTTTTCTCGTCATCCATCTGTTCAAGTTCACTAAGCAATAATCTATTCTTGGTCTACCTCTGTCTCTTTTGCCTTTTATTTTTCCAGAGAGAGCAGGTTTTACTTTACAGTATTTACTGATAACCATGTTCACACAAGGCTTACCTTGCCTCACCAAATCAGACTGATACACCGGCCGATAGAGAGGCAGAAGTGAAGTGAAAACACTGGGCACCAGTCGAGACAGCACAAGACTCTGCAGAGACCAGCGAGACATTAGAGCCTGTATTGACCTGTCGTGGTTTCCTTTCAAAGCAGCTTCCATCATGTGCACACGCAAGATGGATGGCACACAATCTATTGCTGCCCTGGTCATGGCTGCATCCTTCACAACATACGAGCAGCATATTTCCAGAAGTGAGGAAGTCTGAGGAATAATCATAAATGCATTCAGAAGAGATGCATCGGTAATGAGTGCAGGTGTATTTTGATTAAATTAGGCCCACAGCCTCCAAGACTTAGTGATCACATAATAAACAGAAATCGAGAACATTGAAGTTCATAGATTTTCTTAACAATTCACAATTCACAGAGGAAGCAGTGTTTCCGACATTAGATAATGAAATATTTTCTTAAATACATGTCATGTTCACTGAAGGAACAACACTAAAAGATTACTAAATAAAAGAAAAAAAAACAAGACATGAAGCTCAAGCAAAAGCAAAAACCTACACTCCTGCGACATAATAAAAGACAACAAACACAAGTTCCAACTACTATATGTTAATAAATATAGTACGTTTAAGTAAGAAGTCTTGCTCATTAGAGAGTTAAAGCATTATATTATAAAAAGCATTTAAATAGATGACCAAACCTAACCAAGGTGTATTGACCTTAGTTGAAGAGATTGATACATTGCAGGATCTAAGCAATCTGTGTAGCAACAACAAAAGCGTCAGAAAATTATTATTAGAAAATTCATATGTAAAAGCAAATATTTTCCTCCTAACATGAGTGGATTCAAATATTGTTTCTTTCCTTTGTAACAATAATTAAGGTTCCCTACTGATAATAATAACAATAATAATAAATAGCATTTGTATAGCGCATATCCCCACTCGAAAGCAAGCTCTATGCGCTTTACACTATATTATTACCCCCAGCAGACCATAGAACACTCAGAAACATTCTCAGCTTCCCCGGAAGCATACAGAGCAAGCAGCTGGTTAAGCGCTCAAACACTAACAAACTGACAAGATCTTTCACTGTCTATAGCTGGGTACCCATTCTCACCTGGCTCAAGAGGGGGAAATTCGTGTAAAGTGCCTTTCCCAAGGACACAACATCGGGCCCGCGGCTCAAACCCCCGAACCCACAACCTCACAATTCCGAGTCCGGTAGCCTAACCACTGAGTATTAATTAGATAAATAATTGAAAAATGAAAAGCATTACTTACAGACGTCCGGTTTTGTTCGCAGCTAGGTGGAGCATCAAGGTCCAGTGGAAATAAAGATCCTTTGTAGTGGTCATACCAAAGACACTGGCTACCTTGCATGGGAGCCCCTGCCATTTCTAGGCTGACATAAATCTCCTCTCAGACTGTTGAGTAAATTTTACAGAATGCCATATGATCACATTCAATTGAATTATAAATACAGTAGTCTCCGCCTAAGATCCCACCGCTTACGATCCCGGTTCGCTTAATAAGATCCCGCTGTTTTAAGAAAACAGAATTTTTACTATACAAAAGTCACCCCTAAGATCCCGCTCTGATTCACTCTGAAGGTCCACATTCGGCTAAGATCCCGCATTTCAGATCATAATTTGCGGAACAAAAACCCGGGCGGGACAGCCGATCAACCAAGAGTGAAAAGTTGAGATCAATAAACAGTCCGTCGCATCAAAGATCAGCCACTATCGTGAATATGATCACGCCGGGGTGTGAACTGACCGACACGTTTGTTTTCCCCACGCATCGCACTCACACCTGAGCTCTCCCCCTAAACTTACATCATACCTCCATGAGTGGGTAGGGCCTCCATGTTCCCTCCAGGCGGGATCACATCGAACCGTGAACTCTTCCTTGACCATTGGAGCAGTTGTCTCTACTCCCGAATTTGCGAGACAGACTGAATTTTAATTGGTGGCTTCACAGCGTAATGGGGGTGTAACGATAAAGGTGGTTTGGGGAGCGGGGGGGGGGGGGGGGGGACACTCGATCAGAGATGGAAAGCGATACATTTTTGACAGGTAAAGGGGAGGGGCAACTGGATAAGCGTAGATCTTGAGACTCATGATAGGATAATAAGTGAAAATGGCACGCCTCATCCCACTATGCACTGTGATAGGTCATCAAGGTTAACCACTCTTTGCTCGCCATATGCCATAAACCCACCAAGCAGTCACGTCAGTTCATTTCAGAGTGGAAGGAGACCATTTTACCGATTGTGAGCCTTAATATGGGTCACTGTAGATTCGTCCCTGGGTTCGTCGGTTAAGATCCTGGTTTGTCTAAGATCCCACATTTCCTTGCTCCCGAGCACCGGGATCTTAGGCGGAGACTACTGTATATAAATATTTCTTTTTACTTGAAGCATATAAAAAATTTTAAGCTTAACAAAGCAATCTTGTAATATGATGAATGCAAATCCAGCTTCAAAATAAAATAAAAGATTCTTTAAGTTGATTAAAATACAATTAAGTCTTACTTAATTTGTAAGACAGAATTTGCATGCTGAGAACAAAACTTAAATTCCAGAATATACAGAGCTCTATTTCTTGACAAAATAAAATGATGACAAGATTTGGAAGGACTTCCATAACAAGCTACCACCTTAACAAACACAATAATAGAAGAGACCTAACCCTAACACTGACCCAATCTCTAACCCTATCCTTACCCTTACCTAAAACCCTAACCATCTATTCTACCGTGACATAGAGCATAAGTGGTCATTCGTTAAGGAATTCCTTCTCGAGATGTTCTAATTCATTAAAATTTACTCAATTTACTGACTTGATAAAAGTTTCAGGTTTGAAAATCAAAACCATATTTCAGAGTATGAATTTTGCAAAACAAATTCAAGACAGAAGTTAAGACAGGGGTGCCTAAACTTTTTTCCCTCGAAAAAAAACAAAACATTTTTGACGATTTTACCAAAAATATTAGGACAATTATGATACACATGCAAGATTGATTATACATTTAGGAGGTGGCTATTTGCAATGGAAGCTCTCCAGTCACTGTAGACCCACCCACTCCTGATTTTTTCTAGGGTGCTCATCGGATCTGTGAATAACAGGGCATGTTTATACGATTCCATACTGATCCATTCCAGCGCCTCTGTTATTGCCTTAACCTCCATTGCCATGCTCGATGTAGTGCACTCGTAGGCTCCAGTCTGTTCTTTAATTATCTTCCCGTCAACTCAAGAACTGAACGCCCACCCAGCTTTCTGGCCACGCCTAACTGATCCGTCGGTGAAGACGACAACATCACCCATCACTGAATTTCCCTCAAGGATGGTCACTATTTTCGCATTAGTTGCATTTGCTGGCCACTCGCGACACTCTCGACCTAAACCTGAAACGCGGACGAGTAACGCATGCGCAAAAGCCATGTTGACGTTCTGTCTGTAAGAATATGTCTAAAATTTTAGGGTGTAAAATTGAAGATCAGCAGACCACCTGCTGGGAATACTTTTTTGGCACCAAAAACTGTCGCAAAAGAGGGCTAGCTAGATCTATGGTGATCTTGTTGTTCCGTTCGTTAAAGTCTACCTCCCATTTGTTTACATTCAGAGAAGAAATCCGGAAGTCTTAATTACCAAATCTAAGGCCACACAAAGAACAGGGATGAAACCTAACTGCAAAACGTAAATTTGGTAAAATTCAGGGGCCCCCCCCTCCATGTAAAATTAGGTAACGGGGCGGGGCCTCTTGGGGCCCAAACCGGTGAATAATAATTGGGGGTGGGAGCTGCCGAAAAAGGGCCATTCTTTGCTTAAATTTTGATTTTCTCTTCAACGATTACCTGGCAATTCAGGGTCTCTGGCATTCAGCTTTGGACTTTAACAATCTAGATCTAGAATCTAGATATTATTTTTGCGAAGTGACTATTTCTCAGAACACTCGGAAAAATAAACTTGAACTTTATTTCTCAGAACGGTTTCCGTTCTCGAGTTTTGTTGGTTATTTGCATAGAGTTACATCTATGGTTATTTCGAGAGTTCGGCGTCATCTTTCATTCTGCCATTCTGGGAAGAAACATATTTGGGGGGGCATCAAATTCAATTTCTAGAGCTAGAGATTTTTAGTTGTCTGAATATTCAGATACTTCAATTGTAGTTGGGGCAACGTTCCTGGACTATACTTCATTTGAAAATACCTTCAAAGGTACTGCGAGAAAACAAGACTGGTCGACTTTGGCAGTAACCTATTTTGCATCTAGTCTAATCACCCCTAAAGCAAAAACTACATCACAAAAAAATCCCTCTACGCCCCCCCACCCCTCCCCCGATCACAACGTACACACACAGGCACACTACACATTCATATAGATCTAGATCTATACACAAACACACACCACACACGGGCCACTCCATTCGCAAATAACTAGAAAAACTCGATAACGGAAACCGTTCGGAGAAATAGAGTTCAACTCTATTTTCCCGAAAGTTCGGAGAAATAGAGCCGGCCTTATTTTTGTGACATAAGCGGGGGGGGGGGGAGTAGATCTATATCTAGATCTAGATCTAGATCTAGATTAGTGGTGATCTCTGCTGCTAATGTTCAAAGAGGCCATTTAGGGGGGAGGATTGGACAAAATTTGATACGCCAAAGATAATCTATAAAATTGCGTTTTTATATAATGATGGGAAATCCAGTAAGACCAGTAAATCAGATGTAATCATCATCAAATTGGGTGATTGGTAGTGAAGTAGAAGGTAAGTGTAGATCCCCTGCCCTCCCTAGAAGACAAGAAGAAGAGTTAGATAATTATTTCAGAACTGGACGCTGGGAAACAGCGCTGCAATGAGATTGGCGTGACCTGGAAGAGTATGAGAGAGGAGAAATAAAAACAACTAAAAACGAGCAGAATAGTATTGCAGGGGACCCACCAGAGGAAATAAATGTCCATCTACTGACCACCCTGAGAAATAGAGAGAGGCCCTTGTTGTTGATTGTTGTCCTGTTCTGGATCTCTGCCTCTGTGAAATTTCGTTTCGACCACGATTCATGACTTTACTTCCGCTGCTAAGCTCGCATAAACAGGAAGTTTTCTTTTTTTAAAAACACACCATCGAAGATGGCTGCGTCCTTGTCGACTGTCAAGGGACTCTGTGCCACTGCGAGTAAAGTGCTTGCTGCAACGCAATGTAGTAATTTATTTGCTGACCACATTGCTAAAATCAGGTATTGTTAAATTGTTGTTTCCTCATTCTTAATACCTTTGAAGTGCTGTAACTTAATTACAGAATGCACCAGTAGATTTCTATCAGTCCGCACACAAATAAACAGGCCAAAATGCTGAACTTGCCTTGATTGATTTGTTGGGGCTCTCTCTTTGGAAATTGCCTTCCCGTTTGTTTATCATGATAAGAAACCGAAGTGATAACTAAGGACTCAAATGGCCATGTAGCCTAAGTGAACCCTACCACATTAGCCTAATCACTAGCCAGTAATATTTTTCTGCCTTTTTTGTATTAACTCTTATCCTGCGTCTGTGCCCAGATGCGTGGCGTATCTTATCAGCAACCGATTACGTCGGACTCGCCGGGCAGGCCGCCGGGGTCACTCAGTGTGTACTGTTGGTGTACAGCGCGCGCGCCGGGAAACGTGTGTTTTCGCCATGAATACCGCGGGAGTGTGTTAACTGATGATGAAAATAACGCTCTATCCTTCATAGCATTTTATTTATAAAGTGTTACAAACACATGAATAACCCCCTCTCACAAGCTGATAAGACATTACGAGTAGTTACGCCCATTTGAATAACCTTTCTGGACGCTCTTGTTGTTATGAATGACCTGAGGTTCGAAAAGGGATAATTTAGGTCAATTTCCGAATGTTTTACACTCAAATTGTTCTTTGTACCTGCACAAGGGTATTCAAAACTATTAAACAAGCTCATCTTTTATCAGGTAGTATCATTTCATACAAAATCAAGCTCATTTGAAATATTTTGTATAGAAAAATGGAAGTCTTGTTTCCTGACTATCCTTTCGAGCTCCTCACGTCTAAGTGGGTCAATTTCTTCTATAATTTCATTGGACGAACATCTAGAGCTATCAACTTGGCATGTTTTGAATGAGACGTATGCCTCGATTACGAACCAACGCTGGTGGTTCTAGAAGAAGGCCACAAACGCACACAAACTCAAGCAGACTGACGCACACACACTTGACCTGCATGAATGGGGATCCGACTCGGGACCCGAATAACACGTAAGAGGATGCGCGTGCGCTGAGCCAGGAGCTACACTGACTCGGGACCAGAACGCAGGCGAGGTGCCGAAATAGGCTTATCGGGCTACATAAACCCGGCTCCCGCAGGATGAGGGTTAAAAATTTGGCGGCCACCTCTATTCTCACCCCGGGTGAGAATAGCGCAGGCGAGTCTTTTGGCTATTCTCACCCGGTGGGCGTTCACCGTTATAGCCTAGGCCAACCAGTGAAGTGTTCACCCTGAACCATAGAATTCTACACTGTGATAACAGAATTATAGAATTCTGGGTAAGATTGAAGAATACCGGACCAGCGGACTGACTTTGCCTATGTCTCAACCTTACGAATTCATAATTTTCCCGATTTTAATCTCTCAATGGAGAATCTCGGACCGGTAGATCTAGGCCTATTCATTAAAATTTTGTCTGAACCCCCCTCCCCCCTCCTCCATCCCAACCACCAGCCCCACCTACCTCACTTTCTCGCGCAATAATGTACGAGTGGTCCGGTATTCTTCAATCTTCACGAATTCTGTGCTGTGAACAAACGTTCTAGATCTATTACTACTGTTAGTGTTAGCCTAAAAGCGTGCAATTTTGTCTGTGGGCAGTGGAGAGAGACAAAGAGAGAGAGGAGTAGCGCGAGAACTTCCGGGCAAAACAAAATGGCGACCCACGTAGTTCGGCTCGATAGCCGTAGCATCTTTGTAGACAACCAAATTAATTTAGTTTTCTTGTTTAAAATCATTTTTTAACTTTGTTTTGGTCAATTTGATCGTCCACACCGATAGACAGTATTCAGAAAGAGACAGAGAGAGAGGGGAGGAGTAGATCTTGCGAGAACTTCCGGGCAAAATAAAATGGCGACCCGCGTAGTTCGGCTCGATTCGAAAAGTGAAATAGCCATAGCATCTTTGAAGACGATGAAATTAGCTTACTTTTGTGCTATAACGTAATTTTTTCTTGGCTTTTATCAATTTGATCATCCACACCGATAGACAGTATTCCAAAAGGAGGAAAAACAGGTCTTGTTTCACACCGGGTGAGAATAGCCTACCCTGGCAAGTCTCACCCGGGATGAGAGGTAGATCGTATTTCTATTCTCACCCCGGGTGAGAATAGCCACTTCCTAAAAATTTATTTTTGCCGGATTGAACTTCGTGGACGGTGGACCCACCGTGTTTATGTCAAGCGCCATTTGCCGATCAGCGCAATCTTAAGATGGCGCAGAACCATATGACGATCCGCAGAAAGCGCTGCCATCTCGAGATGGGCGCGACGCTCCATCACACACAAACAAACGATTTGCAAAGTTCACAAACAAAACTCGGCAAAATTGCAAAATCGTTTGTTTGTTTGTGTGTGTGTATGTTGTTTTAGCGTGTGTATGTGTGGTGTGAAGTGACTTTTATCTATCTTGGGTACCTCTCTCTCCCCCCTCTCTCTCTCTCTTTCCCTCTCTCTCTCTCTCTCTCTCTCTCTCTCTCTCTCTCTCTCTCTCTCTCTCCCTCTCTCTCTCTCTCTCTCTCTCTCTTTCTTCGCCACTCTCGCCTCTATGTGTGTATATATATAATAATTTGTTGTATGTGTTTGTGTGTGTTTCCAAGCGATCGGCAGATGGCGCAATTCTTGTCTTGCTTGCTTTGCACAATCTTAAGATCACGCAGCTCTATTCATTTTCAGAAATAATCTGTAGATGATGCGCCCATCTCGAGATGGCCGCGCTTTGTGTGGATCATTTGACGTTTACATGACATGAAGCTACAGCGAGCACCTAGCACATTGCTGGATTGGCCCAAATATGGATTAGATGACATATTTCCGCCATCTATTTTTGTTATCTTCCGGGGCTTCCCTTGCCAGTTGACTAGATCTCACCAGAGACAATGTACGTAAACGTACTCTGTCTCTGATCTCTCCGTGGTAGGCCCGCTTTGTGTGTAGTGTCAGTGTGTGTGTGCATGGGCGCGCTTGTATGTGTGTGTGCGTGCACACAGGCTTGTGTGTGTGTGTGTGTACAAACTTTGAGAAGGTTAATTTATGGAACGAGAATTGCTGATGTTGTATAAAAGATTATAACACAAATGAATTAAATTGATATAACAAAAAAAACAAAGACAGCGAGATCCAGTCAACAGTTACTGGCGAGGGAAACCCAAGAGTATTGGAGGAAGCCCCGGCAGATGACAAAAATAGATGGTGTAAATACGTCATCAATATTTGGGCCAATCACAGAGGTGTGCTAGGTGCTCGCTGCAGCTTCATGTGTTTACATGTGTATTAGGCTAATGTGCACTAGCCATTTAACAGTGGGGGGTTTCAAGGGGGGCACCCCCTGGCAAAAATAATTATTTTTAAAAAGCACACAATCACGTTTAGGCTACCTGGCAAATTATCTGTTACAAAATGGCTGCCAATGGTCGCGAACGGGAAGGCAATTTCCAAAGAACACCATATGGACAATTTGGTTGATACTGAGTGATGATTGATAACGTTCGGATGACTTGATTCAAGTTTGATGGCCTACAAACTGTAACTACATCATCAACTTTACTTCTCATATGTTACTATTGCAGTGTCAGTGTACTACTAGATTAGATCTAGATTTAACTACAGTAGTATTCACCTAAGATGCCGGTGCTCGGGAGCAAGGAAATGCGGGATCTTAGACAAACCGGGATCTTAACCGACGAACCCTGGGAAGAATCTGTGGTGACCCATGCTAAGGCTCACAATCTCTAAAATGATCTGACGAGATCGCTTGGTGGGTTTATGATGTATGGCGAGCAAAGAGGGGTTAACCTTGATGACCTATCACCGTGCATAGTGGAATGAGACGTTCCATTTTCACTTATTATCCTATCATGAGTCTCAAGATATACGCTTATCCAGTTGCCCCTCCCCCTTACCTGTTGAAAATTTATAGCTTTCCATCTCTGACCGAGTCCCCCCAACAACACCTTTGTCGTTACACACCATTACGTTGTGAACACACCAATTAAAATTCAGTCTATGTCGCAAATTCGGGAGTAGAGACAACTTCTGCAATGGTCAGGGAAGAGTTCACAGTTCAATGTGATCCCGCCTGGAGCGAATGTAGAGGCCCTACCCACCCAGCGAGTGGTGTAAGTTTAGGGGTAGAGCTCAGGTGTGAGTGCAATGTTCGGGGAAAACAAACGTGTCGGTCAGTTCACACCCTGGTGTGATCCCGTCTGGGGTAAACATTGTATCGCTTCATCGAGTTTTACAACGTGTATCTGATCACATTTACGATAGTGGCTGATCTTTGAAGCGACGGACAGTTTATTGATCTCAACTTTTCATTCTTGGTTGATCGGCTGTCCTGCTGGGGTTTTTGTTCCACAATTTATGATCTGAAATGCGGGATCTTAGCCGAATGTAGACCTTCAGAGTGAATCAGAGCGGGATGCCCGGATCTTAGGGGTGACTTTTGTATAATAAAAATTTTTTTTTCTTAAAACAGCGGGATCTTAAGCGAACCGGGATCGTAAGCGGTGGGATGTTAGGCGGAGACTACTGTACTAGTATTCACTAACTCTCTTGACCTGACTTGTGAGGAAGGTTTTGTTGAAACAGGGAAGTACGTTATGGCTTTTAGCTTCATTTGCCTTAGGAATTGATGACAAACCATCCAAACTATTTACCCCCCTGGAGGACAGTAGCCTGTAGTTGCGGAGTTGCACATGACAGTGTCTACTGGATCGACTAACCACTGACTGGAGTGATGAACGCACTACTGACTCTGCCGTGGTAAAAAAAAAGACTCTGCCGTGGTACCATGCATTTCTATCAGGTGTACACAAAATGTCCTAACAACAGATTATGATATGGCTGAAAACTAGAATCTAGGTTATAAATGCTCAAGCTTTTTTTCAGTTTTTGAATGGCCGAGATCGACCCTGAAATAGTGGGTGTGTGTTGTTACTTAATTAAAGTATTATGAAATGGAAACTTGGTAAAATCCAAAGGAGTCTTTACAAAAATGCACAATATTGTCAATGGTTATAAGTTCTGCCCGTGAAGCGATTTAAACAAAACGAAGACGCTTTGAAACTGTATCGTTTTCTGTCAAGTGCTTTTCTGCACTGATGTTTTTTTACCTCTGAGGATGGGTAACCTCTCTATAGCAAAGTATAGACCCATGAAACTGCTCCGTATGGGAGCTTGGATTTGAAATAACTCAGTTGTGTGTAGAACAACATTAAACTTTACAAAGCAAATAATCAAATTTCTTCTTCACAGTGTACAGCCTGTTCGGCAGTCTATGTACAACCCCAAGTATGTGGAACCGATCATCGACAAAGCAACCCTGGAAAAGGGCCTCGATCCAGATGACCTTCGCAGACACCGGCCAATCAAAGCCCCTACGACGGATATCTCCATATCGCCACTGTTCTATGACCCTGAGATCTTGTTAGTTCTTGTTTACTACATTTCCCGGTTTATGATACAATGAAAAGATTTTGAATTTATGTGCTCACACTGTTATTATCTGCAAGATCAAGCTTTAAAATTGTTTTGCCTTTTTAATGAAGGACCATGAAAGAACTGTAGAAATCAACAATTTTATAATGGCAGCATTTCTGTTAACTTTTGGAAGCTTTTTTGTGCATTCAGTGTGGCTTTGGAAAGGAGTCACCAAGAAAATAATTTATTGATATTTGTAAGAGAATATCCTTACTTTCATGAATTTCTTTTAACAAATTCTTCAAAAATATATTGACTGTTCTACTTTTCAAAATTTTGTCTTTGAAAATAGCTGTTCCCTACTTTTTAATTCTTCGATCTTTTGTACACATATGATTTTTTATGGGTTTTTTTATCATGTTTGTTTCATTCCAGGAAATTTACAAATATGATGATGAAGGCAGGAAACAAAGAACGTGTGAGAGAAGTCATGCGAAAAGTAAGAGATGAATTTTGTTGTTTGAACAGAATATATTCTTTTCTACCAACTGACATGCAATTTGCAGGCTACAGCTATGTTATGTACCAGAAACTAGATTTTCTAAGTAGCTATATGCCAAATTTATCTGTTTCATATCAAAAACGTCTGTGTCTCCTAAGAATTTTGAAACCATTCTTTTTACCTCTTAGTAAATTTTAAAGAAATTGGCAACTGTTTTGATACAATTAAATATTTCCAAGTTTGCCAACTGATTGTTACCCCAGGTTTGGTAGATCATAATAAAACAGTACCAAGTGCACCAAACATCTACACAGAGTATAATCACTAAAAACATAGACATGGAGCTGAATTTTTTTCAAGACTATGAGATCATTGCAGATCAGTGTTTGATTGCCTCAAACTTGATGATTTGTCGTTATACCTATACTGTAGTGTACAGAGGCTCTATACTACTATACTGTAGTGTACTGTGTGGGTGGTTGGTGGGTGCTCTGGTATGGTTTGCTCCTTCTTTCCTATCAAACGTCGATCGTCCTGATCTCTTCTCTTTCTTTTTTGTGTTTGTTTCTCGCTTGTAACACCTCTAATCTTCGGCACTTATATGACCTTATTGTGTTGCAAGTGCCGTAAAACTCTAACTAAAACTTTTAAAAAACTAGTGTACTGTGTACTGAGTGCTCTCTGTGTTGGGGGTCATATTTCAGAGTTTTGCAAGATGAATGCAAAATTAGTCCAAGCCAATTACTCTATTCTAATAGAAAGTGAACTGATCTTTCTGTTGGTGCCGTTTTGTTGCCCATATTTTACAAGTAGGCCTATTTCATGTAACAAATGATCTCTGAAAACTTTTACACTATTTATAATTGCTTTTCTTTACACGTCAAAGGCCAAAAAATATACCACTGGAAACCCCTTTCAAGACTGTATAGTTCTCCACTAATGAAAAAGCGGTATTTCCTCGAAACATTTGAATGCGTGGGTGTCGGTTTTTTTACTGGCCGATCTTGCATTCCAACAGTGAGGGGCTTCACTTTCCATGGCGAGTTTATCCATACTGAGTGAGAGTAAAGTGTAGGTAAGCAGTTGACACAGAGGGTTAGACAGATAGATGTGCCCCCCCCCCCCCCCCCTACTGTTAATCTGTGAAAGGACTACTGTAACTGATGCAAAAAAAAATGTTCCTTTATTTTCTTCTTTCAAACCAGCTTTTTGAGAATTTGAAGCACATGCAGGTTGAGAAATACAACAAAGCCACATCTGAGAGTGAAAAGGCAGAAATTGAATGCAACCCTGTTGTCATATTCAAGCAAGGGGTGGAGAACTGCAAACCGCTGCTGCTAGTCACGAGAGTAGTGAAGGGTGGAGTGGCATACAGAGTAAGTGGCGAGTAAAGTTACCAAAAATGTCTGTGGTGTTGGTTTAATGCGTCTTTCATTCTTTCCCTAATAGTGTTCTTTGTTTATTTTGTACTACTTTATGATAGTGCCAAGATGGTTGTAAAGGACAGCTAAAATTACATAAAGTGTTTGTAGAGTTGGTCCAAATGCAACTCTAATATTTTCCTGTATGGTCTTCTTTGTTTTATTTTGTACTTTTATTTATGCTTCTCTTTGATAGTGTCAAGATGGGAGTAGGTGAGAGTTTAAATTAGTAAAAACAATTTTCAATTTTGGTTCTATAATCTCTCATTCTTTCCTCTTTTAGTCTTTTTTATATTTTTAAATAATTTATGCAACTCTATGATTGTGCCAAGATGAGAGAAGTTGACAAAAAAAATTACAATAAGTTTTCTTGTGTCAGTTCAATACATCTTTCATTCTTTCCTCTGTAGTCTTCTTTGTTTTATTCCGTACTCATTCATGCTGCTCTGTGATAGTGCCAAGATAAAGGTGACAGTCTTGTTGTCACATATAACTTAATTTAAGAAGAGTCATGCCTATCTCGCTGTTTTGCCTCCTGGTGGGGTCAGTTTGATTTGAATATGAAGATCAATGTACTGAGTAGTTTGATCAGCCATTCTCAGCTTTCGTCGGGGTAAGAGGTAAAGTAAATACTCATGTTCACTCAGTCCGCATTTCTACTTCCCCTTTGTAATTTAAAAAAAATTGCTATTGCTATGAGTTGAGCATCAAAGAACTTGCTGTTTATGATGTACATTGTGTTAACCTACTGATTTTAAATATATAATGTTACCTGCTACATAAAGTTAACCACTTTTTCACAATTAATGGCTACCGTGTACTCTGAGGTTGAATGAATGCCAGAGTTGTGCTGCTTTTTACTGTCGTCCATTTTAATTTTAATATATGTCGGTTATTCTCTCCAGAACTAATGCTACTTATAGTGTTGTTGTTTTTTTTAAAGTGTTAACTCATTCTTGGTCCAGAGAAGAATCCTTTGCTTAACACGTTTGTTTGTCCTTCTCAGGTTCCAGTATGTGCTAGGCCGAATGAGCAGCGTTTCCGAGCCATGAAGTGGATCATTGAAAGCTGCCGCGATAAGGAACGTCGCATTCCCATGGAACAGAAACTGGCATGGGAGATCATGGATGCTTACAACAACCAGGTAGGTTGGGTTTTTTTTACAGTACTGTTGTAGATATCACAGTGGGATAGGGTAAAGAGAAAAGACCCCCCCCCAAAATGTGATTACAAGAGACAATTTGGAAAATTTACAACAGAGGAGCTGAATGTCATCTTCTAACCGCTGATATTTAAGGAGAATGTGAAAAATAAGAAACCGGTTACAGGCGACTTGGAGCAGTGTTAGTGCAGGACCGGCAGCCAAAACGGCAAACCATATACTTCAAGCGTGCCCAATGCATAAAGCACTCACTAGGCAGGGAGCCGCAAACTCTAGATTGGGGACTCTTATGGCCTAGAGGTTAAAGTGTTCGCCTCTCATTCAATAGGTCCTGGGTTTGAATCCGGATAGTGACGGAAAATGTTAGACATTTCTCACCCTTTCCTGCTCTATCAATGTTCTGTAATCTTTCGCCTCCACTTTCAGCCTTCACCACCTTTGCCCCTTCCTCTGGGCTCCTTAGCTCTTTCTACTGCTTCTCCTTGGCTCCTTCTTACTGGTGTCTTTAAGCCACACCCCTGATCTTATGGTAGGCAAGATCTACACCTGGCCTTCTCGGGCAAGGGCGAAAAATCTCGGAGGTCCTGTGTGCAGTTGCGCACGTTAAAGACCACTTGGTGGTCCCAAATCGATGAGAGTAGGCTTCGGCCGACACTCAAACAAAATTCAAAATTTCCTACCAACTGAAAATGTTTGGTGTGTCCCCCGCACTCACATGACCGCATGCAGTTGCTAGCGCCGTTAATAAACACTTACAAAAAAACACAAAAAATATATATATATATGTGTGTACTAGGGACCAAACCCAAAGAGATCGTCGCATATCTGACTCCATTCGGCAAGCTGCCGCCCTCCAGAGGAGGCCAGCCACAGAAGGAAAAGAAGAAGAGCCCCAATTTCTGCATCAGCCTTCGCACTAGAGACTGGGATGTATTTAAATTTAAAGATGATGAGAAGAAGAGAAACTAATCTTATGGTTAAATTGGTTGGGGGGGGGGGGGGGGGGTAATATATGTCGAAGATTACATGTGTTACCAGAGAGTAACGTACAAAGAAAATAAAGGGGGAGGGAGGGGAGGGGTGATAAGGAGGTTAGATGTTTCATAGGAAAGAAGGAGAAAACCAGACAAATAAAGTAAGACTAAATCATATGTAAAGATATTTACTAAAATACGTAAGCCATAAACAAACGAACAAAAATAAGAAAATAACAAATTAAAAATCTTACCAGCCTATAAAAATTATCAGTAAGCTGTCATTCAGGCATTTTTCACCCTTGTAAATCTGTCAAATAATTCATACTTCGTCCCCATAACGCACCTCTTTTTTAAAGCTGCAACCCCCCTCCC